CTAGACAACATAAAAATCGAAAGCTATAGTTACCGTGCCGGGAATTGGTCCTGGACGGCCATAGCAACTGCAGTGTCAGCAAGATAGTCTGCACTCTCATTTCCTTGAACACCCGCATAACCTGGCACAAAGATGAAGGTTAGGGCAGATATTTGTGAAGTGCTTAGTGTTTCAATCTATTCTTGCCTGATAAATCAGGCTTGGATTTTTTTAAGCATATTTATCGAGTCACTAAGAAAGCTATATGTGTGTGAACTTTTGAGCACTGTGGTAGAGATGATTATAATGAAGTAGTGTAATGTAGATGTATTGATGCTGCTGATGATGATGGTGATTTTGGTGGTGATCGTAGTGGTGGTCGGAGTGGAGATCATTAATAATGATGAAGTGTAATTCAAAAACAAAAGACTAATATTATTTCTTCAATGTGCCCTTTATCCCCCAATGGAGCATAAGTCCTCAACTAAGCGACGACAGTTCGTCGTATCCTTCCCTATCGCATGCAGCTCTACTCATGTCCTCCCCATCTTTTCAACTTCACTCCTTAGCCCCCTTTTCCTTGTGTTCTTTGGCCTTACTTTATTTCTCTGCTTTTGTGGGTTCCAGTGCAAAGACATTCTAGTTGTATTGCTTTCAGATTTTCTCAGTGTGTGTCCTATCCAATGTCAGCGAAATTTCTTTACCTTTTTGTTCACTGGAACTTCTTCTTCTTCTTCGTTCACCGTCTGTGACTTGTTAAGCTCTCTCACAAAACTCAACGTAAGTGATTCTATCATACCACTTTTTCTTCTTCTTCTTCTTCTTCTTCTTCTTCTTCTTCTTCTTCTTCTTCTTCTTCTTCTTCTTCTTCTTCTTCTTCTTCTTCTTCTTCTTCTTCTTCTTCTTCGCCTTCACCGGCTGTAAACTCCGGCGGAAAATGCTGGTTGTTCGTCCACTTATGGACTGCAGTCCTGTTTCAGAACCTGAGTGTTGCGTGTGCATCCGTTTGACAGATCTGAGAAACCATTTAATTTCCTCTAATCTGCACAGGCACCAGTTAATGAGTGTTTGTTGTTTATTAGTAAATGTTTCGGTTGTTCTCCATATTTTCTCTCCATACAACAGTACGGATTCGACATTACAACTGAACTTGTTAAATTTAGTATAAGTTTTAATTTCATTTGAATTTCACAAATTTCCAAGCGCTTTTAGCTCTTCTCGTTTTATGTATTCGTTATGTTAATATCTCTATCAGATCCCCCACCTGTATCTACGTTACTGCCTAAGTAGGTGTACGACTCCTTATCTTGGAGTAGGATATAATTAAAGGCAAAAAATTCTACTGTTGGCCTGGTTTATTCTCATTATCTTTATCTTTTCCCTTAAGGATTTTTAGACCCTGGTGGTTTTGATCTCGCATTCAGCATCAACAGGTGCCTTGCCGACTGGCGTGGGCGATCATGCCTCTCCACAATCTGCGATCTCCTGCAGCATGTATCAGTTCGTGTGCCGACACACCCCCATGCCATGCAACAAGACTGTCAAAAATCTTCTCTTGTTGTCTTCCTCTATCGCTCCTTCCACAGATCTTTCCAGTGGTCACAACATGTTATATTTTCCCTCTTCTTATAATATGGCCGAAAAATGATGACTGTCTCCTTCTGATGTCTGTGAAAAGTTGTCTTCGGGCTCCCGCCTCTTTCAAAATCTCTTGGCTGCTCTTTTTGGCTGCCCAAGGTATTCTAAGCATTCTTCTGTAAAACTACATCTCTGAGGCCTCTATAAATTATTTGGCCTGTCTACCGATTGTCCAGGGTTCACAGCCATTTGTTTAAACTGGATGTATTTAGCAAGCAAGAATTCTTTTTCTAACTCTCAATGACATAAAAATATATTGCACAAGATGTTCTTCATTTTATAAAACGCAGATTTTGCCTGTCCTATTCTGTTTCTTATCTCAGTAATGCATCTTACATCTGATGTTATCCATGTGCCCAGATACTTAAATTTCTGTACTTGTTTGATCTCGCATTAGGTGTATTTAATTTATCTTGCATCTCGTTCTGTTAGTGGGATGGAAGAAAAATATCGGCTGCGAAGTAAAGATCATCAAGCTGTTTTGTAGGGGTCCACTGAATACCTCAGAGGGCTCGATGAAGTTTCAAGAGGGTCGTCAAGCAATTATGAAATTGACTTTATTTGTACTTGTAAGAATCTCTTATACTAAACTGTTTTGTTTTTTTTGTTTTTTTGTTTTTTTTTTTGTATTCCATTGTGCTTTGTCCAACGTCAGTGTCAATCATCACAGTGATATTTACACTAAATTACCAGTTGTTGGTGATTATTTGTTGTATGTGTTTTGACGCTTCGATTTTTGTGGATGTGTTTGTCCAAGTTCTTGTTCAGTGTACATGTGATGTTTCTTTTTGTCCACCTCGTTTAAATCCCATTTTATAAGTGGGGGTTGGGTATCGTGGGGGGGGGAGGAAGAGGAAGAATCATGCCATATATTCTAGGGAACGCCACCTGAAGGAAAAAAAAAGGTGCAGAAACAACCGATGCAAACACAAAAAGTTGGTCACAAAAACAGTTAAGGGGGCGTAACCATAGATTTAGCAAGTCAGTTTAGAGACTATTTAGCATAACAGAGTTTTCAACCTTAACAGGATGATTTCTAGGACATCCTAAGCAAGTCAGTTTAACTCGCTACTTGTTTGTTGGCTTACTTTTCCTTGGCTACATTTAAAGTTTTCAGGTTTGGCAAGATCTCTTTTAACAAAATGTTCTTGTAGTCTTTCGGATGTACCGACTCAGCGTCGTCTCCTGAATCATTTACTTGCCCTGCCTCCTTTAGAGCGTTGAGAATATCGGTACGGTTCATTTGGGCCATCGAAAAGATCAGGTACTGACTTTGTGAAATTTCATGAAGCAGTCTGCAGCGAAATGACTGGTCGACTGGAGTCGATCGGCACTTGATGATAATGCAATGACAATGACTACGATGATGATGATACTAACGGTGATGATGAGAGTAAGAATAAAGAGGAAGGTGATAATAGGGTTATAAATGCACAGTTGCTTACTGACACTTTTAGAAGCAGACGAAAGAAACAGACATGATAGAAAACACTAGACAATTTACAAACTATTATCCATCGTGACAATTCCGAGGTTTGTACCCGCTACTTTTAAAAAGTCTACGTATTTATGGGACTGCGTGGTCTCGAGGCATGATGTCCGCCTCGAGTGCTACAGGTTGCGTGTTCAATCCTGGGTAAGTGCTGGGATTTTTTCATGTGGACTTAAACTTCTAATAATTTCAGCTGGTCTCTGTGTAGTGAGATCGGACGCCCGTGTGCATTATTGAGCGTGTAAAAAATCCCTTGGCAGTTGGAAATCGAAAAAAGGAGCCCAACGGCACTGTACGGGTAACATTTAGAGTTAAAAATCTAGTCAAAGTATTTCAGGATACTCGCCGGTGCTACAGAGCTTGTGCACTGTGCTGAGCTTCGTCGGACTCAGACTTGAGCTAGTCCATCAGTAAATTGCTTGAAGAAGTCTAAAATTCAGCCTTACAACGCTGCAGCAAACAGATACAAACAAACATGTCTGACACCATCACTATCATCACGTAGCAGGTCCTTTGCAGAACGTCGCCTTCATAAGGGTCTGTCTGAAAGAAACACGCCTCTCGCCATCCTTCCCGCCTCATGCACTTCCCCATCCAAGTTGTTAACTATATCCTGTGACCTACTTCGTACTGGTCGGCTCCGGTCCATCTTCCTGGTACCATGTCTTCTGCTATTATTCCTTCCAATCCGCCATGGCGCTTTGTATGGCCAAAATATTTCAGTTTCCGAGACAAAATGATGTTGACTAAAAAAAAAAAAAAAGTTAGTTGCGTATCCTTTACAGGACGTTGCAGAGCCAACCCCATCAGCCCCTTGGATTTTGTATGGTTTCACTAGGCACATTTACGTCCAGTAGTTTGCCATTGCTTACTGGACGGTCGGCTCCCTGATACCACTGTCGAAACCAACACAAGGCGAATGGCCCGCAGCTTATCAGACAAAGGAAGCGGGAAATAGGGGGAATTATCATTACCTTTATAATCTCAAAAGTTTAATGATCCATTTAATTTTATTTTCAAATTTGTTTAAGTAGCACATATTTTGACTGCACTATTATTATTATTATTCTTTTGGGGGGGGGGGGGGGGAGGGGGGGGCGGGGAGAGGGGAGGAAAAAAAGGGGGGGGGGGTCTATACTTGCTTTAAATATATAGACTCCTCAGTTTAACAAATCACATAATGCAGAGACAGGGCGTACTCGGCTGATTGAAATGCGGTGGTTTTGTGAAACCTTAGGATGTCCATGTGTCTCTATATCTCCCTCCTCCTCTTGATGTCTCACTTTGTATGTTGTATGATCTCACCGTCAGCATCAACTGGGTTCCTGAACCTATTCAGTCTTTGTTTTTTAATGCATTTAACAATGGGTTTCGTTCTATTAGTTCTTCTAATCGCTTCATTTCTCACACGACTTCTTTTAGTTTTGATTGCAGTTTTTTTAAATATTCTGATTTTCTTAGTTTCTTATTGTGTTTATAAAGTCCAAGTCTGACACTGACAACCTGAAGTTGTAATCAAGACTACATTCATTAGTTTGTCTGCCCAGCTCTCTAGCGTAGTTGGCAAAACCGGATTGCGCGGTAACCGAGTGATAAACTCCTTGTGGTCCAGGTTCACTCCCGGGGGTAGGCAGAAAAGCCACATTTCTCCCAGGTTTACGGTATTTATCATGGAATCTAAGCCGAAAGGTTGCGATATCCATAATACCGAGCCTAAGGGTTAACAACTCATGGCTTCTGGTTACTAAAAAAAAATATTAGTTTGTCT